TTGGCAGCAGGCGAGGTGACATGCAGGAGCACGAGAGCAAGGAGGGGAGGAACAGCAGCAGCAAAGGGAAACGAAAGATGAATGCGTTAGAAGAACCTCTCTCAGTAAACTCTCCGTTTTCACCCGTGGAGAGATTTTTAAAAGCTGTTCTCCGTATGGTTTCAGGTATTGAAGAAGGAAAAGAAAAGCCAAAACTGGACTGAACAACAGAGGTGACATGGAATATTGTTTATGGCTCCATGGAAGATTTCTCATCCCCGACAGAGGCTGGCATGGAGAGGAACCTTTTGGAAAGGAGGAAGTTTAATGACCCCTCTGCTCAGTGCAGGGATATTTTGGGGATTTATATGGGGAGAAAATGATTTTAGCTAAGAGTAATGGTAATGTTTCAATCTCCATTCCTAGTTCTCCATGCTTGCATGTGATGTACACATATAAGATGTATTTTATCTCCACAGCATTCTCAACGTGCATTTCTTGCATCAAATAAGTCATTAAATCATTAAGGCAATAAATCTTCTCATTTCCAATAAGAAGAACAATGGGTCCATAATCTGTACTGTTTGAGAAAAGCTTAACCAGATAGGTCTAATATGGGGAAACAAAACAATCGTATATCTTTCAAAGTACAGTGTAAAAATACAGTAGAAGTTAATTGCATGAATGTATCCGAAGAAGAATTCAATCTGACCGAAATATTAATGAACACAATGTAACAGCTGCCTTAAATCAGTGATGTTAATAATTTTATCAGTCCAATAAAATCTCGTTTGCTGTGTTAGACTATCCGAGTATGATGCAACATTTCTTAAATAGGCCTAAATAAAGATCGAATTATCCCTGCGGTTCTGTTTCTTCATGCTGATTCTTGAAATTCTAGATGGATTGATGGCATTTGAATGATATATTTTTGGGTTTTCCAGTGTCAACTGTGAATGATATTATTTCTACATGAGGATTTTTCCTCTTACTTTCCTAGTAAAAGACCTGATCCTGCGTTTTCAAGTTAAACCTGTGCCTGATTGTATTAGGAATTCAGTTGCAAAATACTAGCAATCGTTTAAACTTGACAGGATTCCATTTAATTATCAGACAATCAAGAAGTCTGGAAGGCAGAAAAATTGTCTAGAATTAAAGTGAATGGAATAATTTCCAGCAAGAAATTATTTATAAAAAAGTAACTTTAAGATCCAAATGTCTTAGTATTCATATAAGATATTTATTCATTAATGTATTTAGGTGTATTTATTTTAACAAGTGCAGAGCACTTCGAAGATGTATATTGTTAATGTGTGATGTTTATTAAAGGGATTACTGCAGAGTTTTAATATGACTTAACCATGTTTTTCTGCTCTAGGACAGTTCTGGGGGAAATGGATCTCATGCAACTCACGACATGCCTCCACAGTATTTTGTTCAATGTGCTTGTATTTATGTGTACACTGTCATAGGGAGCAGTGTGCAAGTTCAACAATGTGCTTTTTGGTTGGTTTTCTTCCAAAATAAGGCTTCTGTGATGATACTGTCTTTGTGACTGTCTGTCTCTCCTCTCAATAATTTTTAAGTTGTTGCATCAGAGTTGCAAAGATTTCAAAGCTGGGCAAGTTACTAGAAAGTTCATGGAAATAAGCGGCCAGATAAAGAAGCAGCAGCTCTTCTGATGGTCCCACAGGGGGAGAGGACGGGACACACCAAACCAGCAGAATTGAAAGCCACCCGTGTCCTGGGCTGCATCCAGAGCAGCGTGGGCAGCAGGGCGAGGGAGGGGATTCTGCCCCTCTGCTCTGCTCTCGTGAGACCCCCCCTGGAATACTGTGTTCAGCTCTGGAGTCCCCAGCACAAGAAGGACATGGAGCTGCTGGAGCGGGGCCAGAGGAGGCCACGGAGATGATCCGAGGGCTGGAGCACCTCTGCTCTGGAGACAGGCTGAGAGAGTTGGGGCTGTTCAGCCTGGAGAAGAGAAGGCTCCGGGGGGATCTTATTGCAGCCTTCCAGTACCTAAAGGGGCTACAGGAAAGCTGGAGAGGGGCTTTTTACAAGGGCGTGTAGTGATAGGACAAGGGGCAATGGCTTTAAACAGAAAGAGGGGAGATTTAGATTGGATAGAAGGAAGAAATTTTTCACTCAAGAGGGTGGTGAGGCACTGGCACAGGTTGCCCAGAGAAGCTGTGGCTGCCCCATCCCTGGCAGTGTTCAAGGCCAGGTTGGATGGGGCTTTGGGCAACCTGGTGTAGTGGAGGGTGTCCCTGCCCATGGCAGGGGGGTTGGAACTAGATGATCTTTGAGGTCCCTTCCAACCCAAACCATTCTGTGATTCTATGATTCTATGATTCTATAATTTGGAAGCAAATTAACTGTAGCCATGTGGCCTTGCATTAAGGACATTATGTTCTGCTGGACCTGAGCTGTCCAGTACATGTGCACAGCCATACTGCGACATGATTACTGTACCCACAGATAACTGGGGCTTGATTGCAATAGATGGTTGTTACTGGAGGTGGTAAGATGTCTGTTATTTGCACCAGGCTTTCAAAACTCAGTGGATTCAGTCAAGTTCAGTGAGCTAGGAACTGTTTAAGGTCACTGCTTCTGAAAGCAGTGGTAGCACATGGAAGCAGTGGTGGACAATGAATATGCTAAGGCATCTGGCTGTACTTTCCAGCAGCAGCAGCAGCAGCGGTGACAGACGTCACATTGCAAAAAATTATCAACTGCAGCTTAGGGTGGGAAGCCCAAAGTACAAAACCTGTTGGCTTGTTTGTGATTTGAAGAACTTGCATAACTCATGCTCTGCTGTTAAGTCTGAGATGTTTTTGCAATTTTTTTTTTTCATGGGAATTGTTTTCTTCACTGAATTCAAGAATTCATTCTGACGGAAAGAACGTGTTAAAAAGAAGAAATGCTAAAATGCCACACAGCTGTACACGTTCTACTATTTATTGCACCACTGAATGGCTGAGACCTCAAAAACTGGCTGTTGATGGAAAGATTCCTCTTTCTCAGTAAGTTTTGCAGCTGTTCGAGAGAAGTTTTTCTGCAAATACCATGTCATTTTAGGTGACACTGGAAATGCAGTAAGAATATAAAGAGAACAGAAACATCAGAGATCAGAATTGCATAGCTGAATCCATAGGTAGGTGTCCAAGTGAAAGAAGACTGCCTTTCAGAGGTACAGCATAGGGATGCTCAAAATTGTCATCCCTCATATCTGTGAATTTGTGAATATTCAGCACCTCAAAAAAATGAACTAGCAAGCTCAGATCTCAGTTAAGCCCCTGAGGTTGGCAGTGTTAGCCAAAGGCAATATATGTCACACGCAGTGTGGTGGGTCTCAGTTAGTTTGAGGAAATTTATAGTATTCCAAGAAGGTTTGAACTCTATTTGTCTTCTCAGATCTCAAAAAGTTCTCCACCTCCCGTGAGATTTGAATCATCGTATTTAAAGTCAAAACCATTTTAGAGCATTAAATCTAGCCTATGATGTATGAACCATGACATAAACAACTTAGGGGCCTGCGTATCCAGAGAGCGCTCTTCTAGACTGTGTTCATCCCCTTTAGAATTACACAATCCATCATTCTTAAGAAAGATGATGGATGAATGGTGACTGAAGTAAAAGTCACTTGCAAGCTTGCCAAATTTCAACCATCTTGGCTGAAATTCTCCCAGAAAGGTATTTCTCTTGGGAGAACTATTTTTTTTTTTTGGTGGAAAACTTTTTGTCAGAACAAGTCATCTATTACCAAGTGCAAAAATCATGTCTGGAAAACTTTTCTCTACTTTTCTCTTGCTGTGGAACTGGGTCTTTGGAAGAAGGATAATGTTTATGTTAGTAACACTTCTGAATTCATGGGGAAAAGCTATTTGTCTTTGTCCAAGTTTTAGAAAAAAATATACCAGCACTTCCCAGTGGTGCATAGGTAATTCTCCAAAGTGTTTTTTGACTTTGGGAATGAACCATCTTGTGACTGAGCAGGACTTTCCCT